GCTTCAAAGCAAAACTAAACTTTTAAAGAAATATAGTCCATCTCATTTGCATCCGAGTCAAGTTTTTTATTTTATTTTTTTTGTGTGTTTGTAAAAATTGTAATGATTGGTGGTATCTGAAAATTAAAAATTATTGTGAAATTAAATAGTGCTCCCATTGTTTTGGTTTTGGCCATGAATTGATAACTTATGCCTTGCTCGGATCAGTTTTGATACCCAGTTTGGACACAACAAAACCCAAAAACTGCACCTCTTCCATGGAAAATTCTTACTTGGGAAGATTCAGAAACAGCTTGTGATCATGAAGAGTCATTTAAATCAATTTTAGGTGACGCAAATGAGCATCCATTGAAGGGCTATACATAGGAATATCATCAAAGTATACCACACATAAATATCCATAGAAAGGTTTGAGTACCTCATGCATTAGTCTCATGAATGTGTTTGGGGCGTTGCATAGGCCAAAGGGCATTACTCACCATTCATATAGGCCTTCTCAAGTCTTGAATGATGTTTTCCATTCATCTCATTCACGAATTCTAATTTGATGATGGCAGCTGTTAAGATCTAGTTTTGAAAAACAATTAGCTCCACCCAATCTATTGAGAAGTTCATCTAGGCGCGACATAGGAAAGTGAAAATTAACAGTGATTTAGTTAATTGCTCGACTGTCAATACACATTTGCCACGAGCCATTTTTTTTGGAACGATGAGTGCCAGAACAACACATGGACAAAGACTATGTCGAATAAATTGTTTCATGCAATAACTCTTCAACAATTTCTTGTAGGATTTGATGTTCCTTAGGATTCATCTTATAGTGAAGTTGGTTGGGTAATGTTGAACCGTGAATGAAATCTATTTGATGTTGAATGGACTGTAGAGGTGGAAGTTGATTAGGTAAGTCAGTCGGCCAAACATCTGTGAACTAACCTAACAGTGGAGAGGTGCAAGTTGATTAGGTAAGTCAGTCGGGCAAACATCTGTGAACTAACCTAACAAATTTTCCACTTCAACAGGAAATTTAGCCTTGCGGTTATTCGATTTTGTCATCAAGATCGCATACATGCAATTCTCATCTTTATAAGCTGCTCATAATTGTGAACAAGTTACACTAGTATAAGTTGATCTCTTTTTGATGTTTGCTTTTTCCATAGATGGTGAGGCAATAAGCTAATTTTCCTTCCCTTCCAATTAACGAAGTATGCATTGGCTTTACAATCATACCAAGCTCCAACATCAAATTGCCAATGTCTTCCCAAAATGAGATGACATGCATCCATTTCTAAAACATAACATAAAACTTCACAGATAAAATTCTTGCACATGTATTTCGCAAGAACTTCAACCCCCCTTTTAATCCAACTAATTTTGTAGGGTTGTGGATATTTGGATGATTGAAGTTGGAGTGCTTTAATGACCTGCGCTGCAATTACATTTTTAGTGCATCCACTATCTACCAATAAGTCTCAAAATCTTACCATTAATGGTATAATGAGTATGAAAGATAACATTTCTTTAAGAGTTCACAACTTGTTCAGGAGACGATAAAATTTTCTCTAGGACACAAGCAAGAGACTCACCGTCATCACTCGATATATTTTCACATTCTTTATTGGAGAATGGAAATTCACGTGACTTTTCTTCAACTATTTCACCTTCCATCATTTGCAACTAACGACGACTAGGACATTCGATAGAACGGTGGCCATTCTTTTCTCTCTGATAGCAAGAGAAAAATAGAGAATATGAAGTGAAAGGGTATATTTCCGTAATCAAATATCAAAAAATGTCCTCCACCATTACAATAGTAGCCATATATATTTTTCCACCACACCCCAACGGTATACGTGTAAAATGAATAAGCTAAACAGAAACAAAGTGTAATATTCTGCAGTATTATATAATACAAATATAAAGTTATTAGATGTAGTAGTTGCTATTATTCGCCTCCGCAGCACCAGTCGCGCGTTGCTGGCATCATCTTCTTCCTCAGTTTCCAAGAAATGCAGGATCGGACCCAAATCCTCATGCCTAGAGTGAAGTTGGGAAGACAGGGCTTGGAGGTGAAGACTCCTCTTTCTCTGTCCTCCTGTTCCCGCCTCTTCCCCCCCCTCCCCCCCCCCCCCCCCTCTCACTGGTTTGCCTGTTCAGAACATTTCGTTTTTCTTCTCCCCGGATAGGTGTCCAAGTTGGGTTATGGTTGTATGAGCCTTTCGGGGGTTTACAACTCCCCAGTCGATGACGAAAATGGGATATCTTTAATCCTTCATGCTTTCAACAGAGGGATCACCTTCTTCGACACATCCGATGCTTACGGTCCTCATACCAATGAGATCTTGATGGGAAAGGTTCCAGCATTCTCTCCGCTTTCGTTTCTTCTCTCATAGGAAACTTAAATTGAAGGGGAAATCTGAGGGTTGGTAATTTCTTGCAGGCATTAAGGCATTTGCCTCGAGAAAGGGTTCAGTTGGCGACCAAATTTGGTGTTGCAGGAGCCAGCCCAAGTGGCTTGTTGGTGAATGGTTCACCGGAGTATGCCAGAGCTTGCTGTAGAGCAAGTCTTGAGCGACTCGGTGTGGATTATATCGATCTTTATTATCAACACCGAATTGATAAGTCAGTGCCTATAGAGGACACTGTAAGAACAGGGCTGGAAATTTTGTAACTGTTTATTGGATATGGATTCACTTAGAATACTTTGTGGTTAGTTTTTTGTTTCTTCTTTGAAACAAACTATGCTGAATTAGATTGGGGAGCTGAAAAAGTTGGTGGAAGAAGGAATGGTTAAGTACATCGGGTTGTCTGAGGCAAGCGCTGATACTATTAGGCGTGCTTATGCTGTGCATCCAATCAGTGCAGTGCAAATGGAGTGGTCTCTCTGGTCTCGGGATATCGAGGAGGGGATTGTTCCCCTATGCAGGTCATTGTGAACTTTGTTTGGATATTTTTTAGCCATGCATGCGTTTTCTTAGTTTATATTTGATTCTGCATTCTTAAATAGATAGAACTATCAAGGAGAGTAAAAGAAAAACAAAGCTAGCATGAATGAGGTGTAACTTTAGTCAATGATAGTTTGTTTGACATCAGATTTCAAACAACCCTTTATCATTAAGCTGACATGTTTGAAAGGCAGGTGAAAAGCCAGATGAATGAGGTACTGACAAATAAAGTTTCCATCAAAGTTTATTTTTTTTTAAAATATTTTCTTGATATAATTAATCTCTTTATGCCATTTCCTTATATCTTCATTTGTTGATTATGTTTGTGATTTTTTTTCTATCCTTCAATCTTTTATTATTTTTATTATTTTTTTGAGATAAAAAATAACTAAAATCTTAGTGTCAAATCTAATCATATGTGCATTTACGAATACATTATCACACAAGTATATGTGTCCATCAAGTAGTATATAAATTTTGAGTTCAAGTATCGATTCCACAAAGAACTACGTTAATTCTTAAATTAAGCCAAGTTCTATCCTAAGACCCTACTCTTGTTATCCAATTAAATAAATTTTAATAGCGGGATCCTATATCTACAACAATGAAAATATTTTCAAAAAAATTTTGGAAAATGATCTTTCCCTTTTCCAAACAATTTTTGGAAAATGATCGTGCGTTTCAATTCCCGGCCGGCCTAATCAAATATCTTAACGAAGTCTGGGGCCGTATTTTTTGCCATGATTCTCTTTCTTCGGCTCGGCAACATTCACTGAGATTCACCACGAAGAAAGCCGGAAACTTTTCATGCTCAACACCTCGATTCCTTAAGTCGAACCTTCCGCCTTGGTCTCCAATAATGCTCAACACTCTTTTATGCCATCATGGGCCAATCACTCCACATGTGATTTCTGTCACAAATCCTACCATACCCGTGATAAGTGTTGAAAGCTCCACGGGAAACTGACACATAAACTTTCAGCCAAATTCTATGCTACTGAGGATTTTGCTACGACCTTATAATCCACGACGGTGCAGCCGATTCCCACTCGGAACATCCCGAAATCACCATACTCCATTAAAGGTTAGATGAAACACTTAATTAAACTGCTTGGACCTAGTCAGTTTTCTTCCGGCCCGTCGACCTCCAATGTTCGTCACTATAACATTTATATGGCATTCATGGGCCTCAAACCACGCAACCGAATGTTCTAAGCCTTATCAGCATATTCTCCATGCTCTGAGAGAGATACCAATAAAATTGCTAACGATTCCTTTAGTTTCATTTTGGATAAAAGGTCTGTTGCTCTAACAGACGAGCTGACTTTGAAATTTGTGTTACATGTACTTTTCCTGAAGTGTATCATCTTGTCAGCCTGTAAGCTGACATATGACATTGATTGTGTTGCTCATTTTCTCCTGATGTTTGTCTTTCAGGATCGTCGTTCGGGGAGAATGATTGTAACTGTTAATCGAGTAGTCGGGCTCAACTTCCGAGAGAATGACATTGATGACGAGGACACTCCATCCAATAATTATAGTTTTTTCCCAGTCCACTGAATGTCCTATTATTCTTTTACATTGTGTTTGGGTCGATATTTAAAAAAGTTGTATCCTTTGATGTTTACTAATAAAAATCTGTTTAGGTTCAGATGTGAGATTTGTGAGTTAGCTAAACATCATCACGTCTCTTATCCACCCCACTTTTACATTCGTTACACTTCTTTTTCATTAATTCATAGTGACTTATGGGGACCCTCTCAAACCCTGAGAAACACCAATAAACGGTGGTTCCTTACATTGATTTATGACCACACTTGAATGACCTGGGTCAATATCTTAAAATACAAATCTGAAACTGCGGTAATCTTAAAAATTTTTTACTCCATTTTGATCCAATTCAAAATATCAATTCAAGTCTTTTGGATCGACAACGACTGTGAATATTTCAACTCTATATTGAGAGAATTCTTGGTAAGTAAGAGCATCCTTCATCATAGCTCATGTATGTATATTCCTTAACAAAATGTGGTAACCGAACGGAAAAACCTGCACTTTCTCCAAGTTGTTGTTCTATTATATTTCAATTTAACATCCTGTAATAGTTTTGTGATTAAAATCTCCATCTGTAGGAATTAAGTACCGTTTAGGGAAATTAAGTTACCGTTCGGGGATTGTTGGTTTGTGATTTGACATTTTTTTTGATGAATATCGAAGACCCGTTGCATCTTTTGAGATTGCGAGTTAAATATTCTGTTTTGCTCCCTGACCGCAGTGTCTTATGACACAGACTAACAAGTCTTTTGAGATAGTTGGGAATATTGACATTCTCTTGTGCCTCCTAAAGGGGGTTGACGTTGGGAGGTTGTCAAAATTTTGATAATTTGGACTTGTAATTAATTAAAACATTTGAATTTTTGAGCTCATACCACAAAATAAAATGTGACATTTAAAATTTTAAAATGATTTGAAATTTTGAGCTTTCAAATTTAAACATATGGGGTTCAAAAATAATTTAAGCCTGAGAATTTTGAAACTTTAAAAGCCCGTCACCGGATTCACAACGTGTTTGCTAGCGAACAGAAGGCGACCCTTTTAAAGCCCAAAATGAGATTTTGTGTGATTCGAAAATTGTAATATTATAAATATTTCAAGTTCTGAATGATCTCATACTTTATCAAACTTAAGGACAACTTCTTAAGTTAAATGCAATATTTTGAAACTTGTACGTGTATTTCTAAGACTTATATGAAAAGTAGGTTGGATGCTCTGGAGCTATGGATGCTTTAAGAAGTTCAAGGAAATAAGTCAATTATGCATAATTTCAAAAATTTGGCATATGTTTTTTGAAATAAATTTTGCCTCAGAGTTCTAGTTTAAAAGATCATGTAAAATCTTAAAATTTATAAACCCTTTAAGCTATTAAAATATATAAAATTAAGATTCCGCATGTGCTCCAACCAATGCATATAATGCTCAAATATTAGGTTTGAGAATGTTGCGTGGGCTAATCGGGCCACATTGTTTATTGAATAGGGTTGTAAGTCCCACACTTTTGGTCAGATTCTCCTTGCAAAGATCGGAGTTGATGAGTCTAGTAATTTCAAAACTAATGACTAAATCATAAATATAAAAATTTGCGAGTCCAAATCACTTAATCCAATCATCCTCCCTATAGGGCAGAAGTTGACAAGATTCATACTCTAAAAATTATAAACTAACAAAATTAAATGTTCTCTTCGAATATAAATGTTTTATATGCTTAAATCCCCAATGATGACTGTGTTGATTGAAGATTTTAACCAGATGAGTCAATTTTTTAAATCAATATTTTCAAAGTAATCAACTAAAACACTTAAGTTAAAAATTAAATCATTTAAAAATTAAAACAAACCCCATCCACCTTCTGTAACTGTTTGTCGAGCTTGACTAATTTCAGTTTACAAAGAGCTAATGTCATAATGAATGTATCAATATATTTACAATCAAAACAATCACATGCCAGTAAGTACATGGTCCGAGTTCTCTGTCCGCGTAATTTCTCCACCAAATAACAACACAAAATAGCGGAACGATCAGAACCCTCTGATCGGGCGATTTCCGCCTAATAACACCATTATATTACAGTCACAGTTGCAACCCGTATATTCTCTAATGACTTCCTATCATTTTAGTTGTGAACTATAAGAGTACAATTGATTGACATAAAACCTTTCATTAGCTTAGATCAATTTAAATATATCATCTTAAACAAAACATCTTCCCTATATCTACAAAGACCCCATGGACGACGTAACTCATGGTTGCTAACAAAGATTTTTCAGTCAATTTGGGTTGCCTTCCTCTTCTGACAAAGTAGATCAAGGACTATGATGACTTGGGATGACAGAATCATGAGATCTTGATTGAGTTTTGTCTTCATTTCCCCCACCATATGTTTTAAGTTCAAGTGTTAGATTTTACAATTTAAAATGTGTTGCTATCGCATGTTAGATATTCAATTTTTAATAACTATCCTTAATTGAAAGTGTTATCTTGTTATCAAGAGGTGCAATTCATCATAGAATTGTGCCTATGAGAAATCTCAAACCCCATATTAAAAAGTCCTCGCAAAGTGAGGGCGAAATATCTGGGCAGTATCTTATCTACAATTCATTCTGTCTTCTAAAAATTTAACTCCTCAAAGCTCTCTCAACATTAACAAAGATAATGCAGAGTTCCGGGGAGGCGTTGAAATTTTCGGAGCACACAGTTATCAATGAATTGTCTCAGTTGTATACTAAGCTATTGTGTTCTCCTCGGGCTCTACTAGCTTATGCTTTAGTATAACCTACTCAAATTCAATTGTATACTTTTCTATTGAGAGATCCTTTTGCTGTAAATGGTGAAGTCTCAAAAGCACATCATGTCTAATGTTTTGGTTGGTACTTGGGTACATGTCTCTTTTCATCCTTGGATCAAATCATGCTGGTTTAGGCACTTCAAATTTTTTCACAACAAAGAAGAAGGCCGTCTTTGTACTAAAAATTCTCTCTACTATTTGGAGTTACTCAATGAATTCATTTGGATCCATGCGATTATCAAAGCCTAGTAAATTCACCTTTACTTCAAAATCTTAGTTTTTCTTTTGATATGTAATTCCAAATCGAAATGACATTAACTTGTCGTCACTCAAAGCTTCTCGGTGAAAGGGATTAACTTTCTACCATCGATATGGAAAACCACAGTTGTGGCTATGTTGATTTTATATTGTTGTTTCTTCTTAAATGCAACAAGCCTTTATTGTAGTTGAAAGATTTTTTGTTGCATGTCTTCCATAATAAACTCTTGGACAGACACCTCTTTGAGTGTTGCTCCCGGAGGCTAGCTTTTGAAAATTTACAGTTATCTTTAGGGTTAGGACTAGGTAGATGATGCGGGATTTTTTTTTTTGTGAGGATATTAGGTTAAGTTATTTGGAATTGTGATTTTGGGTAAGGAA